TTTTATATATATAAAATATCCAAAAACTATTTAGATGTTGATCTGAAAACTGGTTTCTACACACAAAAAAAATACAAAAATATTCACCACCTACAAGTCCATATTTAGTATTTGCAGCTCTGGCTGCCATCTCAGTCAGGCTGCTTATCTGAACGCTGCAGTTGTCCTCCATCTTCCCTCCTGAACTATTCCAGCTTTGACTGGGCCACTCCAGAACCTCACCCTTAATGTCTTCAAACCATTTCTGTGTACCTTTAGCTGGATGCTTTTGGTTGTCTTCTAGAAAACATAGTTCTCTGGCAGATGAAAACCAACTGTGCTCCAGGATTTTACTGAGCTCAGCACCAACTGAACTGGGCTAGTCACTTTAAAGGCAGTGAATATTTAAGCAATCACTTATGTTTTTGTTTTTTTTGTGATCTTGTAGAAATCAGTTTTCACTTCGACATTTAATGGGGTTTTGCCAAAACAGCCAAAATGTTAATCATGATTTATTTAAAATGGGAAAATATTGGAGGGGGTGAATACTTTATAGAGACGTTGCCTCAGTAGTCAGATTTTATATGCTTAACAAAAACAAAAAAAAAAAACCTTTTCTGACCCAAGTCTATGCCTTCCCTACCTGTGTAGTGGCAGAGTCCACCTCAATCTGATCATGAAGCTGGATGTTGTGGTGATGATCAGTCTTCAGATTGTTATTCCCATGATGATGTCCATCATACAGCACCATGGCAGGTACAGTTAACTTCTGACCCTGTGAGTCCCAGGAGTGGATGAAGAAGACCCGGTGACCCTCATGAAGGACAACTTGTCTCTTTACCTGGAGTAGGAAGACCACAGTAACTTCAGCACAATGTCAGAAGAGAGTTTGAAAAATAGGACCTCAGGAAGATAATCTTAAATATATTGTTTTCTTAAGCTTGAGACAAGCAACCTCACAAGAAGGATTGATTTTTTTTATCTTACTTTTAAACATTTATTTAGCATTGTAACTTTGTTAACACCTAACTGCATATCATAACCTTATTTTCAGAAAAGTTCAAAATGACTTGAATAAAGGCTGAGTTGCATTTCCACACAAAGTGTTTCCAACAGGTAGTTTATATATCCTGAAAAAAGTATTCAGATATGGCTAAACTAAATCCACAAATATTTCTGATAGCTGTCAGCATGTTGTAGCTGTCAATGTTATATTTAAGGGGGTATCTGGCTATAGTGGCCTTTTTTGAGAGTATTCACAAAGATGTCTTATTAAGGCTAATTTTTGCAGCCTTTACAGAACTACATTTTAATAAAAATGATTGTTAGGCATTGTAGCCCCTAGGGGGAAGCACTGAGCTTCTAAATTCAAAGGAAGAAGACAAAGTGTTGGTAATGGCGGAGAAAAAAAAAAGTGCTGAAGATGGAGGTGGTCTGTGTCATCATTTAAATCCACTGTATCTGAGGAAGGGTTAGTGTACTGTTGGAGCATGGGTGGCAGGGGAGGGGTGTTAAAAGAATGACCAAAAATTTTATTTTCTTGTGTTATTTTGATCAATTTTGAAATCCACAAGAGGAACACTTCATTCTAGTTTTTTTTTTTGTGTGTGTTTTTTTGTAATTTTCAGCCAATACAATTACTCACTATGCATTTACATAGAAATAAGAATGAAACAGCTGAAAATTAGCTGAAGAAAGTTGATTGGACTTGGTTTTATTTAGGGGTATTAGTACAAGAGCATACCACACAGTTCAGAACTGAAAACCATGCAATATTTCTGTTCACTTCCCAAGTATGCTCTACTTTGCTCCCTAAAATACTTTGTTTTGAATTTTCAACCAACCAAAATGTGAAAATGTTCAAAGGGTATGCATACTTCAGCAAGCAAATGAAACAAAACGGCTTACTATAAGCAGATTTGATGGGGGAAAAAATACGATTAGTGTTTTTTTTTTTTTTTTTTTTTTTTTCAAAACTACCCTGAAGCGATAAACCAGCCCATACTTTTGCATCAGTACTGAAACTCAAATATGTAACATTTTGTAACTTGTGCACCTGTATGGATCTTTATGTAAACATAGACTGAATATCTCACCGTTACTAAGCCATCTGTTTGGACCAGAAAGCGGCTGTCATCTGTGCTGAAAAGAAATCTGGTGCGGTCCGTGCAGTCACTGAAGCCAACTGGAAATCAACAAAAATCACAGATGTTCACATACAGAAATAGCAGTTATGCTACCAATACCCAGGTGCTACTTCACAACCAAATATGAAATACTTGAGTAAAATGCAAAAAGGTCTCGTGACAGGTAATACTTTAAATGCTTACAGTGCCATTGAAACTGAGTTTTTAGCTCTCATTGAGCAGCTAAACAAGTTTCTTCAAAAACCCAACCTTACATTTCCTGTCAACTCTGATTTTATCCAGTCTACACTCAGTTAACTCAGTTCCCTTTATTTCTAATGCACCAGTTCACAACAAATGTCTCAAGGCCCTTTATGTTAATTTTAATTCAATCACACATACAGTTAACAGCACATGAAGCTCAGTTTATTATTCAAACTAGTTTATAAGTTTCCGATTTAAAGAAACCCAACAGACTGCATCAAGTCATT